GTTTCGGCGTGCGTTTTGGATCGCGAGGATCTCTCTCTCTCTCTCTCTTTCTCTCTCTCTCTCTCTATTATTTTTATCAATAATTAAACTCGCGGTTGCAGTCGCGGATTGAACGGTATAGGTTTCGTCAGGGAACTCGTCGTCGATTCGTTAACGTACTAATATAAATTTCATCGGCTGATTTGAGGGATGCCATGGTAACGCAAACATTCGCCCACGCGACGCGTAAAAAAATTAATACGCATTTACACGGAGTAATGACACTGCACGCGGATAAGATATCTTAAAGATATTGAGTAACAGAGAAGGAATAAGACAGATAGAGGGAGAAAGAGAGAGCATAGCTCCGAGAGATTTATTCCGTGATGTCAAATTTTAATAATAATTTGTTAATTGGCTTGACGAATTAAAGATGAAATGCAAAAGAAAGGAAACAATTACGAGATCTGAAAGAACTTCCGGAGAATTCGCGATGAAAAGTTTTGTTATTCTGACTGGCACGGGGCGATCAGGAATCGCTAATTGCAACATTAGTTTGTTCAAAGGATAAAACTTCGAAATTGCTTTATCCCTCAAAGGCAAATGCAACTTCCAATAGTGCTTACAAAGCTCGTTACTAAATAAATTCCATGCGAACGGAAGCTCGCCTCGCGGATTTTAGCCTGTCTGGCTGCTCGCGTATTAAACAGTGAATACGGCATACTTTTTCTTTCTCTCTCTTTCTCTCTCACTCTCTCTCTCTCTCGTCAGTCATTTATTGTTTAATGCGATTTTGCCAATAAAACGCGTGCATTCGACAGACAACTGTGAGATTTCCTGTTTGCAAAAGCACCACCGACAAAATCCCCAGGGTCGAGCTTCATTAAGAAGTGCATCTTTCCAGACAGCTCGGCGATCATTTCGCCGTCGATAATAGCAGTTTGTCAAAGCGGATCGAATGCTACTGGAATCACTAGAAGTCGACGACAGTCGACGGCGAACCAGCACGTCCCACGAAACCTACATTCTTCGGGCGCCCGGCATACGAAGTAGTATTCAATCTGACGATAATCAATCGTCACATCACGCGCCGCGAACAATTGAATTTTTTCGCGAATGCAAGACGACGGCGTGGCTCGTACTCGTATACTTCTGCACGTTCCAACTAGAAATTTATCCCATCCTCTTCACAGGTTGATTCCAATCAGTTGTCTGGTTTGTACAAGGTAATGTTATCAGATCAATAATCCTCTATGAAAAAGAAAAAAAAAGATTTCATGCTAATCACAGTTTGCTGAAAACGTATTTGTTTTCGTAACTGAAAAGTTGCCGTTGTAATTAGAACTTTTGCTACTGTTGCTGCTGCATCGACTTCATAGCTAGATGTATATCTACTGGCAATTTTATACTTTTAGATATCCCAGATAGCACTATCTACGAGTATATTAAAAGATGCGCTAAATACATCTAAAAGACGTCCTATTCCTTTTAGACTTCCTTTGGAGACGTCTTCAAGGATATCTTTTAGAAATTTGCGCTGCCTGGATATTCATATATTATAACGAGACTCAACTACCATACGCAGATTCTTGCTGCTGCAACAAATTTTTTCCATGTTATTATTAGTAATATTTTATCACGCTAGTACATGATTTATCAAGGGATTTATTACGCGGAAACATTAGACAGAAACAAAGAGTAACTAAATTATGAGACAGTTTTCGATATTAATTATAAACATTTAAAAGAGAACATATTGCATGAAATTTTCATTTTACTATATGACAAATTGGTAAATATATCTCTCTGTAGGTAAAGATATCACCAGAAAATTTTGTGGGCTACAACTTGTCGAAGAAACAACGTTGATAAATTCACATGAGGATTCTAAAGATTAAATAAAAACATCAACTTTCCTCGATTATCTTTTGTCTTTTTGTACAATCAGTTGATTGGAATCAATATTGTCAGAATCATGGGATAAACTCTTAGTCGAGACTGTACCATTATCCGCGCCGTGACGAGTGAATTGCATTCGCGAATCGCGCTTTTTCCGACGTGGTAGAAAGTGGTGGAAAGATCTCAACGCTTACACTTCGATAAGCTTCATAACGCGTTCGGTATCCAGTAGAAAAATTAATCTTCTGTGAAAATGATTGAAAACTAAAATCTCCTGTTGGAACATGGAACTTCGCGGTTGCGAAGTTTACTGGAGAGAAGAAAGAACGTTGCAATCTTTCTCCCTGTGACATGTGAGCATCAGTTCACGTTATCTTATGTGTTTTCTGCTCGGACGATTCGCGAGGCACATAAACGAAATCGAGCATGAGCTCGATGTACCCGTACAAAACATCGATATCGTACGACGACGACGGCGATACGATATGATAGAATATTGCATAAGCAATTTCGTGTCGAGTCTCTATAGAAGGATTCAATATCGCCGGGACGCTTCATCCCTCGTTCGGTAAGGTTTAACTTGCACTCGGCTTTTAAACAAGAGCTTGCCTCCAGCTGAGCGCGATGAGAACTATCGGGAGTATTTCGAGATTCAATATATGAACGTCTCTGGAGAAGAGAAGAACGGCGACGGCGACGACGCCGATAAGACGATTCCACCTTTGCTCCCGCGAAGTTTCAAACTTTCGGCCCGTGTCGCATCGTTTCCGGCTTCGCCAAATGTCGTTGAAGTTATCAAACTGTCTCTCTTTCTCTCTTCGCTTCTGCCCCGCCGGCGTATTTCTCCTTTCGCCGCCGACGGAATGTCACCCGACTAGATCGTAGAACATCGTTACACCGGCGTTGGAACTCCACGTCGTGTCCATAAAATTCACCGAAAAACTTTTTATTCGTCCACACCCCCACTTCACTCTCTGCGCCACCCTCGCCGTGACAAGGCGACGATCTACACGCGGTCGTATCCTCGCGCTATGGCGAGGGTGTTCGCGTTACGATCGAAGGTCTCGTTGCTGTATTAATATATAATGCGGACAGTGAGCGCGAAAAAATAAGAATCTCGGGAGAGACAATTTTTTGGGATCTCTCGTCGGAGAAGTTTCAGGTCGTCTCCTCTACGCCTCGACGACAACTACGGCGACGTAATAAAATATGTATTCACAAAAAATAGACGATCGATCTCATAGGAAGTTTCTTTCCCTCTCTCTCTCTCTCTCTCTCTCTCTCTCTCTCTCTCTCTCTCTCATCTCTCTTTTTCTCGCTCTGTCTCTGTTTCTTTTTCTCGTGGATATTGCGCAAACGAATGACGATATCGAGATAGCAATTTCATCTCGACGTTCCGCAGTCGCTTCATCCGACATGATGTCTCCCGGCAAAACCGGGAATGAGACCGTAACTCCTAGCATCGTGTTGCGACGTCGTTACGTAAATCGATCTATCCGTTTGGCGAGCGTGCTTTTTCAGGGTATCAACGCGGAGTGCGCACAAAACGACTAGAATGAGTACGACGACGACGACGACGACGACGACGACGACGACAATGCTTAGCTGGTTGGCGGACGGAATTCTCGACAATTGCGTTCTCGCGTAAAAATTTTCCCTTCGCAAAGAAGCATGAACGGCATTCCAAATCTCCCTGTGTTTCACTCCACTACCCCGGTACCGTGACAAGGCGGAAACCACGCGTTCGTATGACTTTCCACGCTCGCACGCGGCTCTCGTAAAGCGCGAATTCTTTTCTTTATTATGTTTGAACGGGCGCACTCGCACGAGTACGTACATTACGTTAGTCAGTCGGCGTTTGTGTCGTTACGCTGGGATTCGCGTAAGGCCACCTACGAAGGGGAAACTGCGGAGATGAACATTCACGGTATCAAAGTGCCGGGAAAGGAAAGAAACAGAAAGGGGAAGGGAGAGAAAGAGGGAAAAAGAGAGAGAGAGAGAGAGAGAGAGGTGCGGAAAAATTGAGTTTCTTACGTGAGCGAGATGTCCCGAGAGTGATTCAAAGGGCAAAAGCCCTAGCGACTCCATTTGGCGACGTAATTCATGAAAGAATTTTATGTGGCGCACCAGAGTGGAACGAACGCGTACGAAAGGACGTGAGGGAAGTTTCACGCATGAACTGCGCGACGCGGAAATAATAACGTGATAAGCGAGAAAATACTTTTCTATCTCTTAGATACATTAACAATAATATACTATATTATAATCGTAGATACGTACGACGCGTATAACGTATTACAAGTAAAGTATTGACGTATGCAAGTAAAAGGAATGTCGCAACCAGAGTTAGGAAAGTTACTTTTACACGAAGAGGATATTATAATTTCTTTTCTTTCCTTTCAGTTTTGTTATGTTTTTAGTAACGCAGTGATAGGCTGTTAGTAAGATCTATCCTGCTAGATAACATAGTAAATTTTCTTATAAACACAGCAAATTTTTTAATAACATATCTCAGTCTTTAAAATAGCACATTTGAAATGACAGGATAATAATAATAGCACATATGAAATGGAAGGATAATAAATTACTGTAGAATATGTTAATCTATTCCTTGGTTACAAAATTTTGCAATTATTTTTACTCTAAAATTCTCTCCGTGAAGAGAATATTATATAATTCTTTCCTTTTCATCAGTAAAATCTATTTGCTAAATTTCGCTATAAAAGCAAATTTTTTAATAGCGTAATAAAATAAAAGGACAATCTGTAGAATACATTGTAGAATGCCGATCTACTGCCTGGTTACAAAATTCCGTAGTAACTTTTACTACAAAACTCTCTCGAGGTTAACGAACAACTCGTTACCGTCACTCGTCCTAACTATTGGAAAAATATAACTCGTCATCACAATCCCCTTCACTTTTCTTGCCAAGAAAAGTTCTAAAAGATCCCTCTTTTACGAATCGCTGTCATCCGTTCCGTGTACGTTCCTTTGAGCCGCGATCGAGTTATCCTCTTTGTGTGCTCCGGCGCGCATTAGTTAACATTTCACTTTGACGTTCCCATGTGTCACATTAGCGTAAGCAATCTCTGCTGGGTAAGAAGGCGCAATTCGCGGCATACCTGCTTCCCGCGTACCTCGTCTCTTTCACAGCGCCGCGTCATCGAAATCCTTGGAGGAGCTCGAGGGTTGATCCTGTTCTTTTGAAACGTTCGCCGTTGGATCCAGTATGATCATCTCGCATCCCTCGGGATTCTGAGCTTTCGTCGTGTTGCTGGGCAGCAGGGTCTCTTGCATGGTATTATTACCGTTACACATTCTCTCGCTTCTGCAACCCTCTCTGCTCCTCGGGGTGTTACCGTCGGGGTCTCTCGAGAAGCATGGCAGAATCTGTGCAAACATCAACGGATCGATCGGTAACGCGGAATCTTAGGCGTTTTATCGCGTTGATATTATACCGAGAGAGACTGAGACAGGGAGAAAGAGAGAGGAAGAGAAAGTAGAGTAGAGCTTATTAATACTTTGGGATTCGACGATCCCCTACAGTTTACAGTAAACAAAAAATCAAAAGTGCAAATAAGATACCAGATTTAAGACGTGCAAATAGAGATGTAAGCGACATGCTGTGATCATTGCATTATGAATAATTCGCAGCAAAAGCCACTTAAGGACGCACAAAAAATAAACTAAAAGATATTCAAACTTACATACAGAGAGAGAAAGAAAAAGAAAAAGGAGAGAGAAAAATTAGCAACTAGTTCTCATTCCTGCGCACAGAAAGTTTATACTGCGTTAAATTCAGACTTGGGAAAGTCTGGATTTACAAATAAAACTCGCGGTTATCCATTAGCCATTGAAGTAAGTAACCTCAAGAAGTAACGAGATAACTTTCCCGTTATTTTTTTTTTTAAACCAGTTTTCACGACCTCTTCTTTGTTTTACGATTCGCTACTACTCATTCCATGTAGACGCAATCCACGCAATGCGAAGTTACAACAAAGGTAACTGTTATATTATTCGTTTGTCGTTACACAAAAAATGTAATCGCTTAGTTGTCATTTTCATTAACGGAGAAAAATGGTTGTCACCGTTAATGAAAAAGAAAATAACTCGCTGCGATAACACACTGCGCTGTTTCCCAAGTTTGAAATTAAATTACGCGCATTCTCACGCGATTATTTATAGCGACAAGAGGCCCTTAGATTTCAGTTGATTTTTTCGAAATCTATCGGTGGATTCTGCATACATTCATCAGCTCGAGAAACACAATACTTCTCGTTTCGTTGGGCAAGCGTGCATCCGACCGAGCAGTGTTCAACTTTGCACGGTCTCGTTTACGCCTCTCAAGGCGGCGGCTTTAAATTAATTTTACGTCCTCGACGAAATGAACAATCAATCCTGTAATTGCAGTTTACGGGAGAGGCGACCCCCTAGAGTCATTACGGGACAGTCGTACGCCGTCGAGCACGTTTTATATTATTCGCGGAACTTGAGGTCGGAGATTGATGAAAGGGCGTCAGCGAACCATAGACGGTGGTGGGTGATCAAAAAATAATTCGCACGCCGCTCGAGCGAAGATTAATCAAACTGCGCGAAACAGACGAAAATCAATCCTCTGATATCGAAACATCTCCTACAAGTATATGTCTTTCCTTGAAAACAAATTTGTCAGTGCTCCGCATGAAATCGTGACACATACACACACACACACACACACACACACACACACAAGTCGGACAGCGTCGCCAAAGATACCATAATCTGGAAAGATGTAACATGAAGCAAGGCGGAGAGAACACGCCGCGGGAGATATACTTCAGATGCGTAAATTCTCCTCTATCTCGCGAATTCGCGGCAGCAAGAACAATTCGAGTCTTCTCGGCAGTCGCAAAGTAAAGAATCTCGCGCGCCGCTTCTTCAACCGTAAATTCTCGCCCCGCTAACACCGCCCGAGCGTCTCGGGTCGACCGTGGTCGTTCTTATGGCTGGTAACAACGTGAGCTTTTTGCGAGGTTCGAGTTCTGCAGTCCTGTCGCGTTCTTGGCGGATGTTAATGCAAGCGCAATTCGCAAGCGAGACGAAAGAGGGAAGAAGTGAACGCGCGTTGCGAATTAATTTAGACACGATAAAATCCTTGGCTCTTCCTTTGACGTGCACACACACACACACACACACGCATACACACACACACACACACACACACACACACATACGCACGCATGTCGCACACAGCGGCAGAAATGTATTGCCAAACACGTTAGATTCTGGCCGGTTCGATCGTTCCGGTAGTTTCTATGCAAATGATTCTGTCCCAATTACTTAAAGTACACCGTCGCGTGAGGTTATTAGCAATTGCGATACGAATTGCTGAATGACTTGTACTTGCATAAATCGGCGCGAAATTATAATGCATTTTCACCTAATTTCCCTGTAAATTTCTTAGAGTGGAATCTCTCTCAAAATGAGTGGAAAATGGCAGTGTCTTCGATTGAAGTAACAATAAAAATACCGTCACTTGAAATCGCAAGAGTACTTCACTCAAGCTTAGAATGGATTCTGTCTCCATAGAGCAAGTGTTGCAATCGATTGGAGTAAATATATTTCTGCAACAATGGAGTACGTCAGATCTGATCTTCAACTCGGCGGAAAAATATTCACTCGATGGCTCAGAGTTGACAATTCACTCTATGGTTCGTGTTAGTAGTTGTCGACTCATGTGAGATATTCAGATCTAAATATGGGTTTATATTAATAGTCGTTGCTGGAAACTTGTCTCAAGCGTGATAGTCAGACTTAACTTCAAGTTAAATAAGAGTTCTTCAATTGAATATAGAGTTATGTTAAGTTATAGATATGTCACATATGTATCAAAATTCAATTAAAAAATTTGAATCTAGCTATGAATAAAAATTTATGTACTCCAAATGGGACGAGTTTCAAGTGACAACTGTTATGACTTTTAAGGTCATACTATTAGTTGTCACTTGAGACTTTTCTCATATGAGATACTCAAGTTTTTTTCAGAGATAGATACAGAATTTTCAATAATTGAATTATATAATGTATAATACTGTATAATGAAAATATTTTTTAATAATTGAATTGCATAATGTAACAATTGTGCAATGTGACATTATATCTGTAGTCGCGACTCGACAGGAAAATTTTCACCTGACTCTGAACTGAAATCTGAGTTGAAATCTAAATTGAAATCTTAACTGAAATCTTACTTGAGAAGAGTTTTAGTAAAGTAACGACTATTACTAATACCTTAGAGATCTAAGCTTTTCGATTAAATCATGTGATATACGTGGCATTATATTTGTAATCATGATTTAGCTAAAAAGATTTGCATTTAACTGTAAATTCAAACCTGAGTATTTCACCTAAGGTAAATTTCAAGTAACAGCTATTAATACAGATACAGCATGAGTGAAAAGTCTGTCCAAACAACTGGTCACTCCACTTTTCGAGTGAAATTTCTCCTCAAGAAATATAGAGAATTTATTTCATTATAATTATGCTCTTTATAGAAACGCGCTGCGCTTTTCGCGAACTTTCGCTCAAGTAGACTCGTAAAAGAAAGTGGCAAAGTGCTTTGGAAACATTACATTTATTTTCGCGACTTCACCGTGAAGTTTCGTTTTTTTTATCGCTTTTTTAACATACGTGCTCCCTCTTTCTTTCTCTCTTTCTTTCTCCATCTCCCTCTTTCTCTCTGCATACGATCTTGCGAAACTATATCTCACGTACGTGATCCTCTCTGAATATAACAAGAATAATCCGCTTATTCTGCTGTATACTTTGATAATGAAAAGGAAGCAGTGGAACGAACAGTCCATCCGAGTAACTTTGGCAAGTTTCGCAGCAGTTGTATCTCTGCTCTCTTTCGTTTGAAATAACAATATAACGCGGACGAAAGCCAGATGAGCTTGAGTGTGCCTCTCGCCGGCTCGCTCGCTCTCACGCATACAAACACACGAGCGCTCAAGAATACACGAACGTGTCGTGTAATACCTGCTTGAATTCCTTGCGGAAGTTGTCGTTGAGCCACGCGTAGAGAAACGGATTGTAGCAAGTGCTGCTCATGGCGAGGCAGTGCGTCATGAAGAAGCAGAGCCGATAGTAATACCAGTCGTTGGCGGGCGAGTAGAAGTCCTCGACGACGTTGATGATGTTGAGCGGCAGCCAGGAGATGCCGAATATCGCGACCATCGCGATCAGCATCCGGTTGGTGCGCCGTTTCCGTTCGCGATCCGCCTCCTCGCGCTTGCTGCTTTTGCTGCCGGGCTTGGAGCGCGCCCGGTCGTTCAGCTTGATCGACACGCACACGTAACAGAAGGCGATGACGAAGAACGGCACGGCGAACTGGAGTATCGAGGTGATCGAGCTGAAGACCTTGCGGAACGGCTCGCTCGGCCAGTGCTCTTCGCAATAGGTGTGCGGCTCCTCAAGCTGCATGTATATGCCGTAAGGCAGGGTGACCAACAGCGCGACCACCCAGATACTCAGAATGATCGCCACGCACATCTCGATCTTCATGCGCGGATGGAACGGATAGATGATGACCAAGAAGCGGTCCATGGCGATGCTGGTGAGCGTGAGCGTGCTGATGTACACGCTCACACCTTGGGCGTAGGGCACCAGGTGGCAGAGGGTGTTACCGAACACCCAACGGCCCAGGAAGGTGTAGAGCGGGGTGAAAGGCACGGCCAACACGCACAGCAGCACGTCGCTCAGCGCGAGATTCGTAATGAAGAAGTTGGTGACGGTGTGCATGTGGCGGTTGCGCGCCACCACATAGCACACCAGCACGTTCCCGAAGATCCCCAGCACGAAGATGTTGCCGTAGAACACGCAGAACACTATCTGCACCACGATGTTCGACGTCACGTCCTCCAGATAGCTGGAATTGCGTGACGACGACGAGTTCTCGAGCGCCGCCGATGTCTGCGTCGTGTAGTTAGCCATGGTGCATCTCGAAGAGTGCGTCTCTTGTTCTTCTCTATCTCTCCCTCTATCCTTTTGTCCTCCTCCTCCTTTTGTCCTTCTTCCTCCTCGGGCGTCTTACACCAGCGTCACGTCCTCGTCGTCGTCCTCGGCGTCCAGAATCGATCATGCGTCAGAGCGCTGACGTGGACGGACTCACCGTGGACGGCGTCCCCGTGGACGACGGCGAGTTCGGGGCAAACAAGCGACGGAAAGCGACGGTCGGTGCGTTAATGACAGTCGGCGGGATCATAGCCGGAAGTTGGCGCGAGTTGGCCGAAGTGTTCGCCGAAGTCGGGCCCGCGCCGATCGCACGCCCGCCGTACGGCGAATTGATTTCTCGTGCCGGTGCTCGCCCTTTACGCTCGTTTACGCTGACACTGCACGATCCCCGCGGCCACCGAGCGCTTAAGCGACGACGGGCTTCTGATAGATAAGCGAGTTATAACTCGAGATAAGCAGATTAGCACGAATTTCCGCGCTGCCGTCGTCGTCGTCGCCGTAGGACCGACTCGCCCCGGCTACGTTGCACGCGCACGCGACACTCTCAACACACGCCACTGCCCTCGAAATATTTTTGAAGTCGTGGAAGTAGTCGTCGTCGTGGATGTTCTTTTGCCTTCAGGCGGTTAAACGAAGGTGGGTCAATGAAAACCGATCGCGGTGTGACGCGTTTATTATTATCCCCGAGAGAGCTTTCCGTGTGTAAATTTAACTCTACGCGTCCCGAGTAGACGGTGATCATCGCGAGAATCCCGATACCCCGTCCCTCCGTTTGCGTTCAATTAAACATTATCTATGACGAACTCGATGTTTTCTTTGTGCACACTCGTGGTGTAAGGTCCACTGCTCGAGCAGAGTTCATGTTTGAAAAGCAAATAGCGAAAATGGCGAATTCTGACGAGGAGTCCCTTTCTATCCCTCTCGTTGGCGGTAGCAGTGATGTCTCCTCGACGTTCATTAATTCGCAAGGTAGCAGAGAGGGAAATAACTAATCTAATTCAACAGAGATAATCCTGCACGACTCGCCGAGGCGTCATTAGATCGAAGAGTCATTGCCCGTCCGATCTCGCTCACTGCCGTAAAATTTCGAGAGTCCGACACGAGCCGTGTCGTTATCGCCGACGTATTCGCCGACGCCGAATCGCGCAGCCGAATTATATCAACGGCAATTAGCTCATTAACATACCGCAGGCGGTGAAACTTTCGTTTCTGCGACGGGGAGACGACGCGACGCGTCGATCCTATGCCTGAAAGGGGACACGGATGAGCAATTAGGAGTGTGCGTCGATTGAGACCAGCTCTGGCGCTCCCGGCATTCGGCGTGGGCGAAATTGTCGACAAACTTCGCCGGCGGTGCTGTCGTTGAGTCGCGGAGCAAACATTCGGAAAGTTTAGCGGTCATTAATAGCGACGGCACGGCGCACTTCACGGGGCGAAAAATACGACGGAGGGGCTATTTAAAAAGCGCGACGGAATCCGGCGCTCCTCTCAAGGTCGCACGCGATCTCTCTCTCTCTCTCTCTTTCTCTCTCTCACGCGCTCTCCAGTTTTCTCGCTCTTCCCCTCTTCAAGAAGGAGCTTCACCAGAAATAGGGACGCGTTTCTGGCGATAGGGTTTCGCGCTTTCGTTCTCCTCTTTTTCTTCCTCCTCCCTCCACTACCTCCTCTCTCTTTTTCCCTCTCTCTCTCTCTTTCTGTCTTTCCCTTTATCTATTCTTTTCCTTTTTTAGTTTTTCCAATGTTGAATAATAGCCGCGATAAAAGCGACGGCGGCGGCGATATTGCTGACGAGTGGCCGCTTTTCAACCCGCGATCGACTTCCGTTCTTGCGTACAAATTTGTTTACGGCCGAGAGAGGATTGTAAATTACAGGGTGGAAACGGTTTTCCACTCATCGGTCGCGCGATGCAAATTAATAGAGGCGCTCCGCCCGCTGCAGCTCGCGTCGATAGACCGACGTGACGGCCTTCGCGAATATTTAATGATCGCGACGAGCTGGGGTCATCGAGAAACAATTACCGAATGTTTACGGAACACGATCGCTTTCTGCGTACGTTGAAAAAAAAAGATGTTCCCTTTTACCATGTGAGTCCGCTGAGCGACCGAGTTGACGTGAATTAGGGGGAGCTTATTGGTACTATAAAGCCGGTCGACTCGGCACTAAACTTGCGTGGCAGCGACGTTAGCAGGGTCCTATTACATCGATTGGATTAATTGAAATGTTTCCAATGAGAAACGATCGTAAAACTGGGATAATTGACCATTGCAAACTTTGCGTCGTTGCGCACGTAAAATCTCTCTCACAAGCACGAAAAATGAATAGAGACGCGTCGATGGACCGACGTGGCGGCCTTCGCGGATTTAACGATCGCGACGAGGATTACCGAGGAATAATTATCGAATGTTTCGAGAACGTGATCATTGCGTTTGTTGAAGAAAAAAAGAATGTCCTTTTGCCATTGTAAATCGTTAAACGACGTGAATCAGAGAGAGATTATTAGTTGTAAAATAATTGATTGGAAACATATATCCGATCTAAATTTACGAGAGGAACGTTAACATGTTAACATCATATTGTTTCATTGACTGAATAAATTTAAATGTTTTCTACGAAGAATTATCGTATAACCAGGATATTTGTAATATTTCCTTTTTTCACGTGAACAATCAAGAGACCGAATTAATGTGAATTTGAAGGAGTTTATTAGTTCTACTATAAGATAACTGACTCTCAACACATCTACCCGGAATGAATAAATTGAAATGTTTTTTACAAAAAATGGTCGTGTAATCGAAATAATTAAAACATTGTCACGTGAATAATCAATTAATCAAGTCGACATGAATTTGGAGGAACTTATTAGTTCCACTATAAAATAATTGACTCAGACATCTGTCCGAATGAGAGAATGAATTGAAATGTTTCTCACGAGAAACGATCCTATAATCAAGACAATTGAAATGTTCCCTTTTGCCGTGTGAATCGTCAAGAGACGGAGTCGACATGAATTGGGGAGAGTTTATTGGTTCCAATATATAAAATAATCGACTTAAGACATATCCGATCTAAACCTGCGGGAGCGACGTTAACACGTTAACAAAACGTCCTATTTTTTCATTGATTGAATGAGTTTAAATGTTTCTTACGAAAAATGATGGCATGACTAGAATATTTTAAGTGTTTCCTTTTATCGTGTGAATAGCTAAGCGATCGAATTGATGTGAATTTGGAGGAGCTTATTGGTATTCTACTATAAAATAATTGATTCTCAAGACATCTATCCGAATGAATAAATTGAAATATTTTCTATGAGGAATGGTCGTGTAATTGAAACATTTCCATTTGTCACGTGAATAATCAAGTAATCGAGGCAACGTGAATTTAAAAAAGATTGGTTTCACTTTAAAATAATTGACTCAGGACACCTATCCGAATGAATGAATTGAGTATTTTCTACGAGAAATAGTCGTATAACCGAACAATTTAAACATTTCCTCTTGTCACGTGAATAGTCAAGCGACCGAATCAACATGAATTTAAAGGAGCTTATTAGTCTTACTATAATATAATTAACTTTTTCGAGACCTGTGCCTCGTCTTAACGTGCGAGAGTGCCGTTAATACATGTTAACAAAATCTTATTTTCTCGTCGAATTAATCGAAGTGTTCCCTGCGGAAAATAATCGTATAGCCGAGATGATTGTGGCTTTGAGACCACTGCGACTTCGCGTCGTTACGCACGTAAAAGCTCCCTTACATGCACGAGATCTATCACGAGAAAAAAGAGAGAAATAGGAAATGAGAAAGAGAGAGAATCGCGTGTCCCGCGGGCATCCGGACAGTCTCGCCGAGCTGGTAAAGTAATGATCCTCCTTCTCTCTTTCGCGGACGTATCCACCCCTCGCCGAGGCACGCGCCGGGATACACGCGTACGTGCACGCAGCTACCGGAAGCTCCTTCGTCGCTGAGTCGATATTAAAAGACGAAGAAGGTAACGAAGCACACCGCGCTGAAAGCGATCACGTACGCTCTGACACACGTGCGAGATCGATTTCGGCCACCTGTTGAAGAGTCGACAGCCAGCCGGCCAAGAGCCGGCAATTTCTTCCGTTACGCGACGGCTACCTTCGCCAAAGTTTCGCTCACCGGCGCGGAACAGCCTCGGGGTGCGAAGAAGTCGCGACAGCCCGGTCGATCTCTCGCGATTATAGGCCGTTGGGCTACTCGCGTTGGCGCATCCTCGACCGTCTACGACGAGGAGGACGCGTAATTATTCTCTTGCACACGTACACACACACACACACGCACCTGAGTCACACGTGTGCGGACCTCTCTTCACGATCGTTCTTCCCTTATTATCGTTTATCGCGACTCCGCAGCCCACTTGAAACTACCTGCTATTCGCGACGAGTGTTCTGAGAGCAAGATGTGGGCTTAGTGTTTGCCGATTGAGCGTTTTGCAATCTGACTCTTTCAGTTGCTTCTAACTCGTACTCGTAGATCGTCTGAGATGCCTGTCATTTTCTTCTTTTTTTCTCCGACTCGAGTTGAGACACGCGGTTGTTCGCGCGTGCTAACGCGCGCACGGAGGTGTCAGCAGCCGCACGAAGACTTCTTCGTGGGCAATCGCGCGCCGCCCGCTCATCAGTCTTCGCGTTTTCGCAATTCGCCGATTGTTGTTGCACGAACACACGTGTCCGTCGCGTTCGACCGTCGCGCGACTGAACGATGACCCGTTTGAGATCTCGAGGAAGCGCCGAAGGCTCAAAATCGCGACGCGCCGACGTCTCGCGCTCTCATCTCGCGAATTCGTGGGACCCGCGAGACACCTCCTTGGAGCGCGCAGGGGCGAAGGTCACGGCACCGGTGGTTCACGCGCTGCTTCCTCATCGGCGACTGAGACGCGAAAATCGGAAACGCACCGGCTCCGAGAGAGGGAAAGAGAGAGTGAGAGAGAGAAAGAGAGAGCGAGCTTCACCGGCGCGGTTTTCTCGCGCAGGCGTGCTCGCCGTTCACGTGTGTGTACGTGCGTGTTGTCGCGATACTCTGCCTTCGTGTGAAAGTACTCACGATAGTATCGAGATATTAATGTTTGATCTCCAAGCTTCGCGCTCGTCGACACGATACGCAGGCCATGCATGAGATATTTTTGTCTCTTGTGTATAATTTCGTCATATTTTTCGCGATTCGTCTCGTGCACGTGGCATCAGGTAGTTCTGTGTCAAGGCGATGGCCTTGCAAGCGTATCCAAGCAGGACTGAAAATCACGATGATGTGAAAATGACGAGAAAAACAATTGCGAGTCGTGAGAGAAAAGTTAGTTTTTGAGTCGTTTTTTCGTCACTTTAACATCATTTTGGCACCATCGTAATTTTTATTCTATTTTGGTAATCGGAAAATTTTGTCAATAACTGTCTTTTTTTTCAATATAATTCATCTGAAATTATTTTAATTCTGCATTTCTTTTTTACCTAACTACCTGATATTATTTTTTTGTATAGAGAAAATATACAAGTTTAAATAATATTTAATTTTAGCATTCTTAGATTTTTATTATTTATAGATTTTTTATATGAGCATTTGTTTTTGTATAATTTTTGCGAGATTTCGTGCAAGAGAAGCATGTGAGTTTGATGACTTTTTTAGCTTCTTTTTTAGAAATTTTTGTCCCATCTGAGTGATTGAAATTTTCATGAGTACGACTATATGAGACCTAGGGAACTTCAGAATTTAATAAAATCGAAACGAACATATTTCCTTCGCGATGCAAAAGCGTTCGATTTCGAACGAGCGATTTTGTTCTCTGTCTCGCTCCCCCTATCTCTCTATCTCTGTCTTACTCTGGCGTCTCCCCGGATTCCTCGTTGCATCTTATTGCGGAAAAATTCTTTGACTCGAATATGCTCGGCCCTTCCTAGGCGAATGCGTTCCGGCGAGTATTTCTGGCGACGGAGGTATGCGAAAAATGTCACATTCGTTCAGGCCGACGGAGATCCGTTTTTTTTGTGCGAGGACCGTGAACGCAGAGGGTCGCGTAGAATGTCGCGAATAAGACAAGGTGAAATTATACTGGTCGCAAACGTTTGCCGCTATAATATATGGTAATCGGTCCGACTCTTCAGAATATGTTACATAACGCACACTCATTAATCTTTTCCAACACTAATCTGAATATCATTAAATTCAACATATCGCATTCAGGCATATTTAATTGCGCTTGATAATTTGGTAAATTTTTCGCGTATTTGTAGGTGTAAATTTAATATGAGCCAGTCGAAAAGTGAACATTCCATATGGCACAAATGTCCAAAATACATTTTAGAGGCGTCCCAGAGATATCACACATCTCTGAAACATATCTGGGGTGTATTTTTCCTAAACAGTACCCACACAGCAGGAATGTCCCAAATACATCATAGGGATATCTTAAAGATATCGCATATCCCAAATATATCTTTAGGATAACTTTATGATATATTTTGGACACCTCTGTTGTGTACTCTGGGATACAGATCTTCACAGAATATCCTAAAAACATCTCTAGGACATCCCTTGAAGATCTTGTGCTGCATGAGAAGCTATACAATATCAAATTAAATAATAAAAAACTGATATTTTATATAAATTCCTAGACAACATGTCTAAAATCGGGACATAAGACGTCTTAAAAATAACTTTTAGGTCGCCTTAAAGACATTTATATGTAAATCGTCTGAAAGATATCTTAAAGATGATCTTTAAGATGTCTTATGTCACAATTTTAGATATTATGTTGTCTGGGTTAATATAAAAGTTATATAATAGCTTTCATAAATTAACATTAAACCAAGTGATAAAAAGTTTTCCTATTTTCGATTTAAATTTAGATTGCGATCCATTAACCGCTACAGCGTATTAAAGCACTTAAAGAAAAGCCAACAAAAGCGCTTCAAAACATTTACAGTTCTAATGGATCGCACTCTTAGTTTAATTAAATATCTATATTTGCAAATATTTCTATATTCGATTTAAATTTAACAATTATCCACATTTGACTTAGATATTTCAAGATGACGTATATCTAAACAAAATATTTTACCGAGTGAGCATGAGACTCGACATCGATTGTAAATTGCGGATTCCACGTCAGAGCGCAGCACGTATCGAGGCAAAAATGTGCGGTTCGCTCCGAGCCAAGTGTCACGAATCGACGCGTGTTTGAGGATTATGTTTAGATGGAATAAATTTCGTCATATCATCGTGATGTACACGAGAAGGAAACGAAGTCAGGAAGTAAAAGTGCGAAGGTGCGCGCGGAAATTTCCATAAAACTGGCATTATAAAATACAGTAATTTATTAATAATTACTCATTTATCATCAGCGTACTCCTCATGATAAATTAAAACTGCACATATTTCACTTTCCTCACTATACACTACACATTTTGTCACCACCTCGTAACTTATAATGTACATCTTTTCTCGTTATTTTCTATATAGTTTTTGCTCTATTTATATATATATATATATATATTTATATATATATATATATTATTTATTTATAATTATTTATAACAGCGTGTGTGTGTGTGTGTGTGTGTGGCAATCTGACGGAGTCGCAGAACTCGAGTTGCGCAAACACACACGTGGTCTCAGTCGCTCTTTCTCTCATTCATTCGTTCGTCCATTCATTCTCTTTCTCTCTATCTCCGTTTGTCTGTCTCTCATTGTCCTTCCCGTATTATGTCAAATTTATACATACATGCGCTCGTATACGTATATACGCGCGCGCCTTTTCTTTTATCGCAATAGTCATAGAGCACGATACTATATAACGCGAGTTATTTAATTTTTTACAGTTGTGCACGGCATGTACCGGATGGTGCGCGAGGGGAAAAAGAGATTGCAATCGATTTTCTACTCAGAATCGCAGAGAGCAGCAGATTATCGACGACTATTATTGTGTTTCCTTTTATACTCTCTCCCTTTTTCCGTCTGTCTCTTTCTTCTCTCCCTGATCGTCGCGTATGAGAGAAAAGGAACGTCGATCGAGCAAGATTCGCGACTCGTCAAGAGTAACCTAACTAAAATCGCAATTAACACTACGAATTACTGTTGAAGAACACCGTGAAAGGAAACACGGGACGATGTACGTTTACATATGTGAAATTAATATTATTACATTTCTCGCACCTACGGTTAGCTCGTAAAGGTACATCGCTACTCAATGCGCCGTGATATCTTTTTGTTTCATCGTGCGATTGGTCGTGGGAGAGGCCGACGACGCGAATCGTGAAACGCGCGCGCGAGGACCCTCACATCTCACTCTCGTCCACACACGACGGCTTTGCCTTGCAGTATAATTTTTTCTCTCTCTCTCTCTCTCTCTCTTTCTTCGGACATACTATATTTACATTATACATATTATATAGTTGCACACACTAGCGCGAGGATCGCCGCCAGGCGTTCCGACATCCGCGCGTTTCCCGTTTCTCAATTCGGTAAAATCTTAAAACTGTGCGACGACGTTCACATATAAACGCATATACACGCCGGTGTCGTTCGCACTTCGCAGAGAACAGAACAAAACCGTCTCGTCCGAGATGAATCACAGATTCTCGCGTCTTACGCGCGGAAGGGAGTACGCTATTAACTTCGTCTCGCGTGACACGATGAGAGATGCTTCGAGGTTTAATAAATAAATGATATTTACCGCGCGACTGGCTTTAGGTATTATGTTAGTACTTCCTACTAGCACGTTTATAATTTACCTATCAAAATCCATACGAGATACGAAGGCACGAAACGTCCGGGAAAATGTAATCGTGACTGCGACTTTTCGCGCGGCTTCTCTCGCGTCACCCGCGTCCACCCTCCGTGCCTCGGTTAGTGTCACCCTCGCGGGGAGGGGAGGGGGTTTTTTATCTCGTCGCGCGTTACGCATTCGCCTATGACGATTTTATTGTAACTTAGCGGCAACGAAAGCGGTGCAAAAAGAAAATTACGTCTACTAGCCTGCGCCCGTGACGGGTCTGACGTTACGCTTACGTATCATCGTTACTCGTGGAAATAAATAATGCACATACACCGCGTGATCATGATGCATAATTAACACGCCGGTTCAACATATCCTCTCGCCGCACATTTAGTGCTACCCGTTTCGATCAGATTTGTGATCCTCTTATTTATTTTTATCGTTTTTCATCAGAAAAAAATCAGGTATGATCTCGGGTATCCAGCGTTAAATCTGCGGCGAAAATAATGGCGACGCATCGCGTTACGTTGTCAAAAGGTTTGCTCTCCATTGCTGAACTGGCTACACTGTAACTGGCACTGGTTCTTTTCTCCTCTTTCTTCCACCAAGTCTCAGCTGTATATATCTGTTTCTTTTCAAGTTCCGTGACTGTGATCCACTAAGACTGTACGAAATGCATCTGTTCGCTCTCGAAGAACTTCCGCACTAATGCAACATGTTAAAGTGAAACAAATATACTTTCTTTCGCTCTATTAACTTATTACACTAGTGTGCATTAGTCTTTGAAAACGAACAGATCTTATAGTAGTCAGTTTAAGTCCAAATGCTGAAACCCATACAAGTAAACGTTCGTTAATCGAGTAATGGACTTCGAAATCTGCGCGCGAATCGGTTCAAGTAGCCGTTTTGGCCGCGATAAATAGTACTCCGTTCGTTTATTAGTTATATGTATATGTTATATGATTTTATATATATATTTTTTTTTATATTTACGGACAGAGTACATTTCGCGCGAGCCAAACGATTACTAGAACCGATTCCCGCATTAATTTCGAAATCGGTCTAGCGATTATTTATACTGATTCCAGTAACTGGATTCGAGTACCAAAATTTCGTAGTCCCAGTCTACACTAGTTCAGCAATAAAAAACAGACCTAGGATTCCACGTAATGACGCACATGTATATGGATGTATGTATGTATACGCACACGCGCGCGATAATTTAAGCATGATGCGCGTGATCGTCGGTTTAGGGCGGTGGTCGCGGAATTGCTTGTACAGTCAAAGTGTGTGTGAGATTTTCGAGGATTACGGCTACTTATTTTCCCTTGCCACTACAGCTCACTTAACGAACAACCTAAAGTCGCGACGCAGCTTCAGGACTATTATCATGAGATCTGCGAAGCGTTTCCTAATAGTTGAAAGGTTTTCATCGAAACAATACGTACGATATTTTTATACGCTAACAATACATTTATATTATTATAATTACAACGTAACAATAGATTCCCACGTCATTCAAGAGGTACTATTGCTGGTCGCGGAAATCGCTTAAAAAATAAAAACCAAAACGCGTTGGCAAGAGTATCTCATAGTTCACAAGGGAACCTATTGTCACGTTGTGTAATTATATACATTATTATATTTATTATCAGTGTACAATTATATCTACCCATTAATTTATAAGATCATATATAGGAGAATTGTTTCGATAAGAACTTTTAAAGTATCAGAGAAGTGCTTCACAGATCTTATGGTGTCAATGGTCGCGTTCAGTAGAGAAAATAGCTTAATAAGCACTTCTCGTTACGCTGACAGCAGCTTTACAACTGTTGTAAGATTTTTTTCTAAACGACACTAGCGATTTGAGTTCTTCCAACGTGTTTACTAAGCGATTACCTTTTTTACCAGCATACTTTCAGTGATTACATTCAGCAGAGAAAGTAATTCGCTTTCCGCCTGCCTGACAGAACAACTTTGCAACTGTTGTAAGATTTTCTTCTGAAAGTAACGATTGGCTGCGTTCAGCAAAAAAAGCTGTTTTGCAACTGTAAAATTCGTGAATCTGATTGGTACATGCTCTTGGATTTAACCAAAATTAAGAGCATATTCCAATCAAATTCGCGAATTTTACAACAGTTGCAAAGCAGCTTTCTCTGCTGAACGCAACCATTGACAGTAGCGACTTATCCAACATGTTTACTAAGCTATTTTTTCCAGCATATTTTCGATATGCTAGACCGTTTAGTAAACATGTTGGAAAAGCATAAATCGCAAGGTATCGTTTAGCAAAAAATCTCACGAACAGTCGCAAAGCTGCTAGCAGCGCAGCACAAAGTGCTTATTGTGCTGAACGTAACCAATGGTTCTAAGGTTGAGCGCTACGATTGTCAGTGGCGTGACCCGCTGGGCGAGCTGGAGCGGCAAGGGGAAGTAAGTAGTCGACTCGAGAATCACCTCGATTATACAAGTAATTCCGACCACTTGTTTATGATATAACTATGCGTATATATATGTATATATGTATATGTATATACTTTCAACATTAGCGATTGAAAAACAGTGCACAACGCTGAATACGGCTGTCGTGTTCGTCGGAGTTAATCGGAGGATAAGTATCGAGAGTGCCTCGAGAGAGAATGCGTCGCTCTCGAGGATTCTACCGGATCCATTGAAAACATCCTGCTCCTTCGGCTAGAAACTCGAAATCTCGGAATCTCTTGTTATATCCTTCATTCTTAACTGTAATCGAAATTGTCGTCTGTCACGCGACGCGCAGAGGTTAAAAATGGAGAGGAATTACGCTCGAGTCTATTCTAATCGTATTTACACAACGTTCGAGGAAGGATATAGTGAGAAGCGAGAGGAACATAATGTCGCTCTGCCACGAGGAGTCGCCGCCTGTGGAGAGTTTAAGTGAAATCAAGAGGTATAACGTGAATGACCTCTCTCTCTGTGTGGAACGCGTGCCTATCGTGATCCTGCTAAAATAATTACGCGACGGACGTGACGGACATCCACATCCGGTAAGAATACAAAAGAAGCGGAGGTGTATCGAGGGTGTATTATGTGGATTTTGTACTATGCAGAATTAGAGATACGCAGTGGCGGAAGTCCCTGCAATGTACAAAGTATTATATTTCCGCGTCATGTCATATAAGATACCACTACCGTTACCGAGAATATACACGCGACCAAAGAATCTCCGACAGAGCCTGCTGATACAAAAGGAAATGAAAATAACAGCAAAGTAGACTAAGACCTTCTGACAAGAAGGTTTGGAGCAGACATCGTAAAGCAGTCGTGTTTCTTGCGTAGCGTGAATTTCGAAGATACTGCCAAGACAACTGAGAACAAAGTATCCTACTAAAGACTAAAGAAGTCAGGTAGAAGTCGTGAGGAACACGTTGTCGAAATAAAAGAATCTATCTCACGCGAACAGTGCAACGCAGAGAACGGAGAAAGGAAAGAACACGCAGGTCACGTTAAGAAAGTGAGAACGAGTCCTGCGTCTTTCAGCTTCTAAGTTACGAACGTGCCAATGTTGAAATCCGAAGAACTATGCTATGTTATGACTAAATGGACAGCGTCTCTCTGATCAACTTCTTCATCGTGTTGCCCATCGTGGTGCTAGACGGGCCTGAGGTCGTGAAGGACAGCTTGAAGAGATAGGGCTGTATGTCCGGATACGAGGTGTCGAAGATCAGGTCCAGCTCCGCTTGACTCGGCACTTTCGGTATGTAGTCGTGCCGATTCATCACCTCGGTGATGTAGAGGATCTTGTCGGTCAGCAGATCGCCCACCTTCTCCCGGCATATCTGTCGCTCATGCTCAGTCGCCAGCTTGATGAGCTCGAGACGCACGGTCCACACTTCCCACGGTATGCACTCCGGCTGAAATGGCCAGCGGTTCTTCTTACGTTGGAAGAACTCCAAGGATATTTGGCCGGAGCCCGGGCTGTCGGTGGAGCGTAGGGCCTCCGAGAAGCCCGAGATCTCGCGCTTCAGCGTCTGGTCGAGGTGTACCGACGAGCAGCAGACGTAGGTGAAATCGATGAAGTCACAGTCCACGTCCTGGTATCCCACCGTGCCCACTGAGTAGCTGCCTTCTTGTTTGTACTTGAATTTGCCAAAACTCCGATGGAAGAGAACGCTGTGGAATATACTGGCCACTGCTTCGTCCACCTGACGTCCCTCCATGCTCAATTCAAATAGCTGTGTCCTGGCATTCATGATGATACCTGTTGATCACAAGCATACATTGTATCCTCAACCCCATAATACTCATTGAGCAGAGAATCATTGATTGTGCATAGTGAATGAGCATCGCAAGAAATACAGTTTATTTTTTAGAAAAATTTTCTTTGACAATTCATAAAAAAATTAATGTACAAGTAGGATAAAACACCCAATTATTGACACCCTATGGTTCATCATTAATATTAATGATTAACATTCTAGAAAAGTCTGGTTTTCCTTGCAACCAGCAGCAGCTGTTTACAGTTTTAGTTGTAAAATTTTCTTTTCAGATCGTAGAGATCATATATTTTCTTTTGAAATTAGCTGGTTCTGCAGGTAAGAAATTTAACTACAATGCTGATTCCAAGAAAAACTGGTTCTCCTCTAGAATATTGATGACTCACAGGATGTCAATGATTGAGTATTTCATCCTACTATCTGTAAAAAAAAATTACTGATACTAAATTACTATGTTACATTATCAGATATTTTATGACACGCATAATGCAGTCTGGAGAAATACTACATGTAAACAAAAACAATCACGTACCGATTACACGATAAGCCACGAAGAGTGGCTACAACATAAAATGAACGATTGGTGTCACAGGAAAATGCACAAATACAAAAGTGAGATAATGATGTCGCTCGATGCGACACATTGGCACGTGCATGACAAAGCCGCGAACGGACAAAGCGCGGGAGCACTACAAAGAAAAATAATAAAAGGTGTATGAGTAAGTCCTTCCTCGAGTTACCGGAAAAGCACTCGTCGACTCATCCTAACCTCAAACACACGGCTGCGGTTTTGCCTCCGAGCGCGAGCAACCTAACCTGATCGCAAAATCTCCGACGCGCTAAAAATCCAACGAATTAGAGTTGACGTTTCGCTGCTCTGAGAGGTGTTATAACCTTACCGACTTAACACAAAACCGAATTGGAGCAGGTACTCCGAAACCTGCTCGGAGCCTGTCATACTCGTCGGCATTTTTTTACCGTAGATTCGTTCACTGAAAATATCGCGTTTGTCACACACAACAAAAAAAGTACAACGGCATGTTCGTGCGACTTTTGACGTGTTTCAGGTCAAAAGCTGCATCCTCCACAAAGTCGTTACCGAGATTATTCCTTGGAACGTTTCTTTGGCAAGACATTGACCGCGACACACGGGGCATTAAACAGAGGTCGATTTTACCTGGCCAATTTCGCACATGTTTGCACCTTTACGTAACAGTGAGACGCAACGAGAAATATGAAACTTGAGAACACGTCGCGACAAAAACAGAAAACGAACTGGTCGCCGAGAGAACGCGAACTAACTTGGACACTTTCTTCTTCAATATCGACTCCACTCGACTCTCGCTCCTCGTCGTCGCCGTCGTCGTCCCCGTCCTCGTCCTCGTCCTCGTCGTCCTGGCTCGGAGCAATGGCGAACGCGGCTTTGTTAGTTTATCGCGCGCGATTCGTGCCCGCTGCTGTGACTTCCGCCGTCGCGAGCCTCACTAACCTCTTCCATTGAGTGCTTCCTCGCGTGTACGCTCTTCCCTCGAAGCACCACGACCTCCGTCCTCCTCGCCCGTGCTGTCGCCACCGCCGCCGTCGTCGTCGTTGTCGTTACGCCACTTTCTCGCGAGCGTTCACTAGTCCAACCCGCTCATTCGTGAGCATCTTCCATCATCCCGACGAGGAAGCTGCGTCGCGCCGCACGGCTCGTCCCTCAGTGACCCGTTACCACGAGTTGCTGCCACCAGTGGCCCTCCCGCACACGAGTTTGTGGGTAAACAACAGCTGTGCTCGTGGCAAATGCCATCTTGGCGCTGTTGTTGCCACCGCGCGCTTCGATGCCCGCTCCCGCGAGGGCTCCACGTTCTTGGTCCCGGAAGAGAGAGGGATAATGTGTTTCCGCGTTACTCGCGCGACTGAGTCGAGAACGATGGCCGAGAGAAGGAGAAAGCGTGCGAGGGAGAAAGGAGAAGAATGAACGGGATATCACTCCGAGAGAACGACGCGGTTGTTGTTGGATCGACGAACGTGTACGGGCCAGCGGGATATGTTGCGGGCAGCGCGATCTGATCTCAGCCGAGCGGTCCAAATATCCTGGCGCTACATCGTGAAGTCGCACACCGTAACATGAACGAAACAACACCAAGGGGAAGTCGATCGATACCTCTTCAGGGCCGGCACCCTACTGGGTCGCACTGCTAGTCTCCTTCGCTGGATAGGTTGCCGTTCCGCGCGTGCAAAGCTGCCGCGCGATGCTTCGCGGGGGAGGCGAGCGCGTGCGCGCGCTGCGGCTGCATTCGAATGCGCGGTTTGCGCGAGCCGCGAAATCCTTCCGCGCGTTCTTTCAGACGCGACTTTCATACGTGTATAGTCAAGTAGATGTTACTTATTTTAGGTAATACGTTTATTATCCCAGACGGCACAAATGTCCAAAATTGAGTCATAAGACGTCTTTAAGGTAACTTTAAGCATCTTTAAGACAATACTTTATAAACTTGTCTTAAAGACAACTTAAAGACGTCTTATGTCCCACTTTTAGACATTGTGCTGTCTGGGATATGTCGTGAGTTCGTAATAAGCATCATTATTAAATTTATCCAAAATACATTCTGAAACCTAGCAAGTTTAGCGTTTCAATGAAGAATATTGGATTAAAGGAAAAATTCGGTTTACTTTATAGAGGATAACAGTTTACTGTAAAAAAGGATAAATTACTCTTTTGAGTACATGATGATAAGCTTTTTTTAAATTTTTAATGAATACATTTGATTATTACTATGATTGCACTACCCACACGGGAAAAAAGTTTAGACAAAAGCCAGATATGGATTTTGTCAAGATTTGATCAGATATAATCAAACATAACGTTATATATGATTCAGAACTGTCCACATATAATAATATATAATCATATATACAATTATATATAATTATATATGATTATATATGGACAGATCTGAATCATATATAACGTTATATCTGATTATATTTGATCAGATTTTGACAAAATCCATATCTGGCTTTTATCTAAACTTTTTTTCCCGGTCAAATAGCACAAAATTTTCAGGGAATGTTCTAAAACGTTCTTAGGATGTATACCCAATGAAAAATTTTTTATATATAATTATATAAAATTATATAAAATTATATATAATTAGATATAATTATATATTATTATGTATCAAATTTGTCCATTCATATTTATACATTCTACTTATATATACAATTATATATAATTATGTATAATTATATATATAAGTAGAATGTATAAATATGAATGGACAAATTTGATACATAATAATATATAATTATATCTAATTATATATAATTTTATATGATTATATATAATTATACATAATTATATATAATTGTATATATAAGTAGAATGTATAAATATGAATGGACAAATTTGATACATAATAATATATAATTATATCTAATTATATATAATTTTATATGATTATATATAATTATACATAATTATGTATGGACAAATTTCATACAAAATTTTGCATGAAAAATTTTTCATCGGGTAAATATTCTTAGAACGTTTTTAGAATGTCCTTTGAAGAGTTGTGCTGTATGGGTACTATCAAGAGAATATTTTTTGTTGAAAATAACCATTGTCCTAGAAAGCTGAGTAATAGCTTTTTTGTAATAGTAAAATGATAGTTTTCTATGTATAGTCAGTACTTGAGAGTAAATCCTTCCTAGGGGTAAAACAAATCAGTATACAAAGTATAATAGGAAATGAAATTTCTAATAAGAGATCTAATAAGATGCATCGTAAGCATCACTATGAACATTAGATCAATGTTCTAATTTCCTACTTAACGATACATAACTGTTACATACATACAATATATATTATATCACTCTTGCATTGTTGAGTGGAGAATGATAACATTAATGTAACGTTGATGTTAGGATTTAGAACGTAGTTTAAACAAATGAAATTCATGGTAGATTTATAATATATATTATATATATATATATATATATATATATATATATATATATATATATATAATAGGGTGCCAAGACTTGGCACACCATATTTCAAAATGTGACATTTTTTTTGCAGTTCTAAAACTCTCTTGAAAAGTTCTAGAGCTCTTTGCAACAATTTTCAATAGTTCCGGTCATTAAATACAAAAAAATAGACTTTTAAAAAAAGGTGCGCTAAGTTCTCGAAGCGCACTTAATTAGTAAAATCAACTATTTCTTTAGAACTATTGTTATATATGATATAGAACTCTAGAACTATTGTAAAACAAACCGGAACTCTAAAGAAATAGTTAATTTAAATAGTTTGTTGGATTAAGTGCGCTGCGAGAACTTAGCGCATCTTTTTTTGAAAGTCTGTTTTTTTGCATTTAAGGACCTGAACTATTTAAAATTGTTGCATAGAGCTCTAGAACTTTTCAAGAGAGTA